ATCGGGAGGAAAACCCCGGCCCTGCTGTGATCCTCAGAACCCTGGGAATTGGCCGTGCCCCACGAACGGACCTCCAGGTCCCCTAACGCTCAAGGAGTCCTCAGTCAGTACGTTCAAAGAGAAAGTTTGGGGTTTGGCGAACCTTAAACAACTAAGCGATGTATGATGTGTTAGAGACCTGCAACAGCGTCCAGATGCTCCCTGAATGCGGAGACAAGCCACTCACGCTACCTTTGCTCGAAGAGCACTGCTCCGCACACATTGAATGTTCAAGAAAAGGACCACGGACTCCTATCCCAGAGACTCATAGACCCAGAGAAATTCTGAATTTACCACCAAATGTGTATTTCAGAACCAGAAAGGTGACCGGTTGCCCACCCCCATAAGCAGGCTTTTAAGAAAGTAGATTGGCCCTGGGAAGTTTGTAAATCTTCAACTAGCTGTTGCCATTATCTTAAGGGAAGTATTTACAGTGAGTAAACGGCGTGAATAATACCCTGGTATGTGATGAGGGGGATGATTTCCTGGTCCTGAGGTCGTTAACTGCGCTGCCCTAAGAAGGAAGAAACTGACTTCATGGAGCAGGGTTGTTCTTTGCCAGTCAGTCAAGAGAATTTTTTTTTTAAGGGTCAGACATGCAGAGACGGCCCTTAGGTCAGAAGACAGGGAACCTCTCAGCCCTTGAGCTCCTCAGTCTGGAAGGGCACACAGAAAAAAGGCAGAGGGCATGATGATAGAAGCTATAAGGTGAGGAAACCGGGAGTGAGTAAGGGAGAGCCTTCCTGGGAATGAACACTTCCTGGGAAGGGTGAACCGAAGACAAGGAGGAGCGGAAGTGTTTCGAAGAGCAGAAGCCACTTGTGCAAAGGCCAGTCAATCCCACAGTGAGCTGAGCTTGCTGGGCGTCTTAGGCGGCAGAGCAGTGCTTCTAATCCAGCTTGTGGTGTGTGATTCCTCTTTTCCTGTATGCAGTTTTAGGGAAAGTGAGCCTTTAGGGAAAGGCTCCTCTTACTGGCATTTGGTTGTCCTTACAGGCCATAAGTCCAAATTTTATATGACTGGCTTTTTTTTTTCTATTTTAAAACTTTTAATGCTTTGTTAGTATTATCAATTACGCATAATAATAGGTTTCATGAAAACATTTTCATACATGGGTACAACATATTTATCATATTCACTCCGCCATTGCCCATTTTTGTCACCCTCCACTTCCTCTGAACCCCTTCCTCTTGCCAGCTAGCCCCCTTCTGCACTGATCCACCGGAAGGTCAGTGGACAACTTTTGGGAGTTGGTTCTCCTTCTACCACGTGGGTCCTAGGAATTAACTAGGGTCATTTAGTTTGGTATCAAGAGCCTTTACTCACTGAGCCATCACACCAGCACGATTTTTTTTTTTAATCCAATGAGTTTTTTTGAGAGTTGTTTCAAGGATCCTATATAGGTGAGATGTTAATTACAGGAGCATGGCAAACTTACCAGCCGCTACACTACTGAAGAAAATATTTCTTTCTCCTCCAGCAACCATTAACAATACATCTTTAGCCTCCCCACTAGGGCCTGTGACCTTCCCAGCCATATGCTTTTAAACAGATTTACAGTATCAGATATAAATTCCCTCTTATGGAGCAGGCCTCAATTCTAGTCAGGAAGTGGTTGGTAACCACCATTGCAGACTTCCACTAGTGCATCAGCGGGTACACTTTACCTGGCAGGTCAGTAATGTGCCAAGTAGAGACCACAGCCGAGTAAGACTACTGATGACAATTTTCCACCAGCAGTCTGCATAGCACCTTCTGGAACTGAGGGCTAGCTAGCTGGAGGGAGCATCCAGCTCTATATCACCTTGATTTCTATATGTCCTGCAGTCTCTTCTCCGAACACACACACACACACACACACACACACACACACACACACACACTGTATTTTGATCATACCCACCCCCTATTACCCTCCCTTATCACTCTCTCCCACTCCTACTGAGACTCTTCTTTTTCCCCCAAAGTCCCCATCTGTGTGTCTGTGTGCCATAGAGTTTAGTTAGGATTGTGGGCTGGGATTTATTTACTGGAGCAACTTAACGGTGGCTGCACCACTGAAGAAAATGATTCCCCTCCCCCAGCAGCCATTCCTTAACTGCCTATAGCTCCTCAGAGAGGGGAGGGTTCTTGTGAGCCCCTCCTGGTCCATGCTGGAATGTTGACCCCCTTCAATTGTGTGTCAGTAACCACAGCTGCTGTGAGTTCATGAGCACAAAGGCCGTGTCAAGTCCAGCGGACAGCCTTTCCCAGCACCCTCCCCATCCTTGGGCTCTTGCATTCTTCCTGCCCCATCCTCCTTGAAGTTCTCTGGACCTCAGAGGTAGTTGGTGTGCTTGTCTCATTCAGGGCTGATCACATCTCAGGCCCAGATCGCTCTTTGGCCAGTTGTGGATCTCTACATTAACCTCTGCCCACTGAAAATGGAGCTTCTGACGGAGGCCGAGAGCAGCACTGCCCTGTGGGTTTAAACGTCTGCGTGTGTTTCTCCAGTGCAGGATGGAAACACTACAGTGACTCTTCCTCTTTGTCATTGGTCTTAAATAACTGTTGACAACATGTCTGTGACACGTTCAGTAAATGCCATTTCATGCTTTTGATGGGAATTCATAATAGGTCTCCTACCCCTCTCGTTCCCGTTCTACACCGTTTAATCTTAATCTAAAGCAAAAACTGAAGCTTCTTGTTGTAGAAAACAAAGCAACAACCAAAACCCTATCAAAGGCTTTGTTTTTTCTTACCAGTTACCAAGCTAGTGGACATACAGTGAAGGTCGTGAAGAGTGTTACTAATGGCTAGTGAATAAAGTTCAAATTCCCCAGCCAGGTAGGTGTGTTCAGGGTTGAGATTGGACCCAGCCTCCCTCACAGTTCTCCTACTGTCCCCATCAACCTGATGTTAAGAGTGGCTTGGGGACCCATACCTTTAATCCCAGGACTTAGGAGGCAGCTACAGGCCAGTTTCTTCGAGCTTGGTCTATATGTCAAGTTCCAGTCCAGACAAGGCTACCCTGTCTCAGAAAAAAAAAAAAAAATGTGGGAGGCTGTCTCATTTCATCATCATTCTTCTGTGGATTCCTTCAGGGACAGCAAATCTCATGTAATATAGTCCTGATTACTTTCTCCTAGATATTATATGAAGCCCTCCTAGTACTATGGGAGAATAACAGAGGGGTAGGCGATTAGGTGTTTCACCTCCTACAGTCAGTGCTCTAACGATGTCAGTATGTCCAATGCATGAATGAGTGAAGTCTTAACTCACTTCCTCTGCACTGCAGACTTGGAGCTTCCCTATTTTGCAATTTCTCACTTGTAATTTGTTATCATAGCCGTCCAAATGGCAGGCATCGGAATTGAAAACTTTAATAACCCTCTAATTAGACATCCAAAGCTAGCTTTTTATTTGAAAAATATCGGTGCTGATGCCAGATTCTTCTAATTTCCCTTCTTCTCCATTAACTCTAATACTAAATTGTTACTAAAGATACAAAAACAATTTCACTTGAAGTAGCATTAATCTTTCTTCCTAGGACATCTTCCTGTTGCAGAGTTCAAAATTAGTACACTGTTCTACTAAAGACTGTTCCAAGGCACCTTTAATCCCAGCACTCAGGAGGCAGAGGCAGGCGGATCTCTGTGAGTTTGAGGCCAGCCTGGTCTCCAGAGCGAATGCCAGGATAGGCTCCAAAGCTACACAGAGAAACCCTGTCTCAAAAAAAAAAAAAAAAAAAAAAAAAGTACACTGTTCCACTAAAGAAAGTTTCCTTTCTTCTTTCATCTGAAATCATTTGTAATTAATCACTCCATTTCTGAATGAGCATTTAAGGTTATGAGTGTTTCCAACTGGTGCTGAAGAAATCTTTACTGGTCATTGTTTCCTTAATATAAAGCATTTGGGAAATCAAGTTTTACAGATTGCTAAGATTGACATTGGAACTGCAAGACTGCTTGCTTTTTCATCTCATTTCCTCTCTGGCTCTTGCGCTGGGTTTTGAATTCATCTGGAGTTCCGCTGCTTTCTTCACAGGGTTTGGTAACTGCAACAAGGTTGCACCAGACAAGATCTTACAGTCCACTTCCTTCCCCATATTATTAATGAATGTGTTTAAAGGCTATCCTCCGATCTTTCCTCTATTCTGATGAGCAATCATTCACTACTTTGTCTTTTCTGATTTCTTTACTAGTTTAAAACCCATTCATTTATTTAAATCAACTCATTCATGGTGGGTTGTGTAGGAAAATTACCTGTCTCTTGAGATAAATACATCCCGATGCTAGGAACTATTTCTAGAGCCTGTCTTGTCTGTTCCAGCCTATTTCAGAATCACTGACTAGCCTGTAACATGATCTGTGAGAGGTGTCTCCTGGGCATAAGTTTTTTTATTTTATTTTTTAATGTTTATTTTTTTTTATTTTACCTGTTTAATGGGTGTTTTGCCTGCATGGATGTCTGTGCACCATGTGAATGTCTTGCACCGCTGTAGGATTCCTTGGAACCAAAGTTATACATCTTTGTTAGCTAGCTTCCATGTGATCCTTCCAGCCTCTATTTTTATTTTATTTTTGAAACAGGGCTCATTAGGTAGGCCTGACTGGTCTGGAACTCTCAGAGAACCAGAGACTTCTGCCTCCTGGATGCTGGGGTCAAATGTGCTGAGCACCACGCATGGCCCCCTGAGTTCCTGGCATTTTTTGATAATTCAGGAGAAGAGGTATGGACTTGCATTTTAGAATTTCAATGTAGGTCATGTTCATAGATCTTGCACATCAATGAAGCAGAATAATTTCTACTAGCCTGGTTGGGAAGCAAGTTTCTTTCATCAGCGATGATTTGGCTTCTCTGTTCTTCTCATCTGAATACTTTGTGGATTTCAGTTATTCACTTGGCCTCTAAATCCAGACAGCATTTTTCTTTTTAGCAAAGCTGAGATTGTGGGATGTGAGGAAAGACCTTAAATTCTCAGAGAACCTTTAAGATTTTACTTCAGAACCGAACAAGGCTATGATTAAAAACTGGTCAAAAATGTGGACAAACTTTTATCCCGAAGGCTCCAGCTCACCTATTTAAAATAGTTTGGAATATGTTTGGCTCCTGGAGGAGGCTGTTAAAGGCCTGGCTGTGGGAACATGAAGCCGCGTATGCCCTTTGGCCAGAGTGACTTCAGGTGTCCTCCAGCTTCCTTCCTTTTGAATTATGATGGCACATTCCTCCCTCCTCCCGTGTATTCTTCTTGTCACTTTTGACTGATAAAACAACGGCTATGAAACTGGAAAGTTGAGCAACTATGCACTTGTTTCATCTACTCTGTGCCAGGAAATGTCTTTGTTTGGGAAGATCTATCCATTCATCAAAATCCTGGAGACACACACCAGTGATTCAGTCAGTAAGAGTCAGGCTAGAGTACCTCAGGCCACGCAGCCCCTACAAACCCAGCAGCCGTGTGAACTTCACGTCATGGTCCAGCTGAGTCCCACACTCTTCAGATACAGGTAGGGTCTACCAATTCCCCTATCATTAACTTGGCTGGTGCACATCTGCGTGGGCACCTTCAGGGAATGCAGGCTAGAGATCCACCTAGCTACATTTGAGGAAAGTTCTAGGTCCCCTTGTTCCCCCCCTCAATGCCTTGGGAAAACAATGGAGTGGTAGTTGGTTAAATGGTACCTTCTAAGTCTTCTAAAGTCTCAGCAAAAAGAAAGTGGAGTCAACAAAGAGCTGGCTAATGAGACTGGAGAGATGGCTCAGTGGTTAAGAGCAGTGGCCGCTCTTCCAGAGGACTTAGGGTTCTATTCCCAGCACTCACGACAGCTCACAATTGTCTGTAACTCCAGTTCCAGGGTATCCAACACCCTTTTCAGGCCTCTTTGGGCTCCAGGCATGCACATGGTGCATAGACATAGATGCAAGCAAAACACCCGTACCATAAAAATTTAGTTTAGAAAGAAAGAACTAAAGAGCTAACTCAAAGCCCCTCTTGCAACAAAGCCAGGAGTGGAGGAAATACCAATCAACAATGAGGACCGAAAGTCAAGAATTCAGACACAAGGGGAATTCTTTGCAGTCTCTCTTCCCTCTACAAAACACAGGGAGTGGTGCTGGCTGTAAACGCTGAACCAGGCTCTTCCAGTGGGCCTATGCAGGCCGACAGTCCATGCCACACTAGACTCTTCAACACTGTCTGGCTTAAGTCAGTGTTTGTCACTGTTATTCTCATGCTACTGTGCTGGCTCCGAGCAGAGCTGACCCACAGGATTGCTAGGATTCAAGCCGATGCTCCCTGACTGCCAAGCACAATCCTAGTCAGTCCTCTTTGTTGCCATCTTCAGATGCTCCATTGCCCACTGGGCGGTTTTCCAATGGTGAGGACGGGGGGAGGGGGGAGGTCTGTTCTGGGAACCAGTCGTGCCTGATGGACAGTGCAACTTCCATGATATTTTTGATGAGGAAAGACTGAATGGGGGTGAGGGTTAGCCCCAGAGAAGCAGAAGAAGAGAAGTGTTTGAGGAGAGAAGTAGACAAGCTGCACCTGAGACTGAACAGGTCTCGAGGAAAGAGGACCCTGCTAGAGGGACAGGGAAGATCCTGGGGGTTTGGGGTGTGGGGGAGGTGGCTAATAGCCAGCAACTCTCATAGCCAAGTGTAAGCTCTGTATAGGCAACAGAACAATTCTATTTCCCCTGATGCTACTTTTTTCCTAGCTCTAAGTGAAGTCTGGGGCCATTCCCACCACCCTTTCAGCCTCTTGGTTGCCCCCAATATATCATGTCAGCAGTTTAAGCATCTAGCTGAGGATAACAGTCATTAAACATCCAGCTGAGGATTACAGTCAAAGTTACAGCTTCTCCTCCCCTTTGAGTCAGGCCTGTCGCCAGCTAGGAGGCTAGCTGCAGAGTTGAGGTAGGATCTTGCTGACTTCTTGCCTTTTTTGTGACCTCTTTTTGTCCTCGCTGAGATTGCCATCTCCTCTGGGGGAGGCAGGGTGCAGAAGAAGAGGGGTAGAAGAATGGCTCAGTCATAGATGGCATGTCCTAGTAAGACCTGGCATTGCTGCTTAGAGTTAGTGCTCTGAGTAGTGTCCATGTTTCATGTACCAATGATGGAGGTTGCCTGGATGTTGTTCTGAACTGCAGTTCTAGCCCCGTCTATTCCATTTACCAGCTGACCATTGCCAACACACGTCTCCCGCATTTCCCGAGCCTACACTTCAGCTCCTGGACTTTCTCAGCCCACCGTTCAGCCCGTGGAAGCACTCCCCAGGACATTTCCTCTTCTCTGCACTCTCCTCTACCTTTTCTGTCATCCAGAGCACGAGCTTCAGCTTCCTGCTGTGGGATTCCTCCAGTCTTTCATACTCCAGTGACATCTCATGTTTTGCAAGAGACTAGCAAGTTGTCTAACACTAGCCCCAGAGTTGGCCTCAGACTCTTGCAAATCGTGAGCAGGGGTCCTTCATACATACTGGGGAATAAGGAGGCAGCTATTGCACTGTTCTGTTGCAGGCAAATGAAGAGGGGAGGTTCACCTTGCCACTTATCACCCCAGACACCAGAAGAAAGCACTGCACTACCAACGGAGGTTCTTTGGGGAGGTATGGTGGTGCCATGGTGGGTGGTCCAGAGACCCTGTCAGATTTTGTTCTAAGAGAAAGTCTAGGAAAGTTCATACATGAGAAGTTGATTCTTGTCAGTTGTTTTGTAAAATGTCCCTGAATTTCTGTCACATGTTTTTGGCCTAAGAGCAGCCTTGTTAAGATTAAAGTCCTCCTGCTCACAGCTGGGATGCATGTACATAACTCAGTTTCCCACGGAGTACAATTATAGCCAGGTGAAACTTTGATTCATAGAAAGATGAGGAAGAAGGCAGGGCTGGAGAAGGCTACATTGAAGGTGAAGTTATGATGTCTCAGAGAGACCTCAGGCAGTAGAGGCCACTGTTCTTGCACAGACCACAGTGTCTGTGCACACTGGCCATGTAAACTGGGTATTGTTCTTGGCTGGTAAGTTTTGCAGTTTGACTCTTTGACTCTCTGAGGGATTCTTAGTTACCTAACACATTTCAAGCAGTCATTTCTTAGTAAGAAGGGGTTTCAGCTGCTTCAAGTAAAGTGAGGTACATCCCTGCACTCTCTGTGTTGATGTGCAAAGCTGTCTGCAATCCCCTAAATGAGCCTAGTGTCTCTATACAGGGCACTCCTGTGTCCATACCATTTCCTCTGTACAACTTTCCTCCAAGTCCTGTCCTTCATGGGCACAGTTAGGAGACCTTGGGCTGTAACTAACATAGAAATGTTCAGAAATGTCTTAAACAATTACACTTTTTTTCATAGAGAAGAAATGTTTACCGTTACAAAAATTAGAAAAAGAACTACCATACAATTCTACACATCTGGTAAAAGGATTGAAAGCAGAGTGTTCATTAATCTCCACAGAAGCATCATTCACAGTAGCCAAAAAGTGGAAGCAACTAAGCACCCACTAAAAGATGAATGGAAAAACAAAGTTTAGTGTAGACATACAACGGAATATTACTCAATTGTAAAAGAGAAGGAAGTTTTGACACATGCGATAATATGGACACACTTCAAGGACATTGTGCTAAGCAAAATAAGCTAGTTACAAAACACAAACTGTGATTCTACTTATATGTGGTGCTTAAGGGGTTCAAGTTCATACAGACAGAAATAGAATGGGATTTTCAGGAACTGGTGAAGAGAGTACTAGGGAGTCACTGTCTGATGGGTAGAGGTTGAGGTTTTTTTTGCATGGAAAGAACTCTGAAGTGGATAATAGTAAAAGTTGTAAAACAAGGTGAATGTCCTCAGCTACTGAACTATATACATGCTTACCGATGTTAAGATGATGATCTTAGAAACAATTTTATTTTGTGTGTGTAAATTTTTTGCCTGAATGTGTGTGTGTATAGTGCATGCAAAGGCGAGGGGGAGGTGTTAGATCCCTTGGAATTGGGGTCACAGGTGGTTATGAGTCACCACATGGTTGCTGAGAACCAAACCTGGGTCCTCTGAACGAGCAGCATAGCCATCTCTCTGGGCCCGGGCCCGGAGAACACATTTTATGTTATATGCATTTATCATAGTGGGGGGGGGAGAATGAAAGAAAGAAAGGAAGGAAAGAAAGAAGGAAAGAAAGAAAGAAAGAAAGAAAGAAAGAAAGAAAGAAAGAAAGAAAGAAATCATTAAGGTTGTGGGTGCCCCTGGGGAGTTAACATCTTCCTAATCTTAACGTTTGTTTCATAGTCACAAGATGGCTATTGTAGCTGGAAATACCTGCATCTGATCTTGGAGTACTCTGACCAGGATTTCCTACTGAATCATTCTGAATGTGTCAACTGTCTTAGTCTAATCATTGTTAATGGGCCCAAAGACAGGCACATCATCATCAGATAACCAGCACTGCTTGTTACCAGGTATTCTGGACCAAATCAATGTTTTACTGTGAGAGAGTGGATCACTATCCATGAAGTCAGAGAGTTCTGTCCACCACAGCATGTCTTCCAACTATATTGCCTGTGTTCAACTGAAAATATTTCAATCCATTTACCATCCCAAACTTAATTTTCTGAATCTGCCCCATAGACCTGCCTTTTTCCTTTGGGCTAGTATAAGACCCTGGCTACACAGACATTGCCTGCAGTGCTCATAGAAAACTCATAAGTCCTCTTTGTTCAGCTGTGTGTGCAGTTCTCAAAAACTGGATAATACTGTGACTTTGGCTCAGAAGTGCTTGGGAAACAAAACGGACAGAGGAGGCATCAACTAAACGTTTAAGAATGAGTGGATGAACAAAGACATGAGATGGGATGCTCAGAGAAACTGCTAACAGATGTGCCAGAACTCTGAGCTTACAGATGAGCTAAGAGAGACCAGAGCTCATCCCAGAGCCAGAGGGGTCAAGCAAGAGCTTTGCTGAAAGTTTAGGGGCAGAAGGAAGGCAAAGTGTCAGAAGTCAGGTGAGAAAGAAGAAAGGGAAAGAGGCAAGATCTGTGGTTAGTCCTCACCCTGGGTTGGGCTATGTGTCACAAGCAACTCATAGTTGGTAGAGTGCAGAGGAAGACAGGAGCTCTCTGGCCACACACTGTTGTTAACAGTGGCTTGGATCTAAACATCTTCCGTTTTTGTGGGTTGTTGCAGAATGTAGGAAAGTGAATACAAAGCTGTAAGCCACTTTTAGACTTATGAAAAAAATCTCCAGGTAGCCTTATCATTCTGTGGCTACAAATGAATCCAAAGTTGTCCAACTTGCCACTACCTGCTCAAATAATTCAATCTCTCCTCAGTTATTGCTTCCCAGGAGGGCCATGGGGTTGCCCTTGGCATCTTGGGGTTGGGTTATATGGCACGAGGTAGATGGAATGGCTATGTTCTTCCTTCCCAGCTCTGGCTTCTTGTGTCTCATAATAGGACTCTCACTGTTTTGTGATGCCTGCTATGAGGTCAAGACCCAAGCCAAGAGCATCATGTTTCAGAACCCATGGGGCATCCAGGTAACAGAAAAAGCTGGCAAGAATGGTTACTCTTCCATTTCTAGGCCCAAAGTAGCACTGTGTATGCTGGAAAACTTATAAAACAGTTAACAGCTCTAAGTTTTCCCTCGTTCACCATCAGGACTACACTAGTCTAAAATGCTAGGCTACAGGTGTGACTTTCGTGTCATTGTCAAAGCAACCAATATCCTTCAACTTCTCCCTTTTGTATTCCAGTCTCCTTGGTAGCTAGGGCTGGTTATATGACTCAGTGAGACTTGAGAGTGAGTTTACTTTGATCTTCCAAAAGTCTTTGCTTTCTCCACTAGAAAGGACACATAGACTGTAACCATTTCTCCTATGGCCCTGCCATCTTCCTTTGTTGAACAAGGATAAATGCCTAAAAATCCCACAGCCATCTTGTGATCACAAGGAAAAAGCTTAAGAGAGCCCTGACTAGCCGGGCAGTGGTGGCGCAGGCCTTTAATCCCAGCACTCAGGAGGCAGAGGCAAGGGGATCTCTGTGAGTTCAATACCAGCCTGGTCTACAAGAGCTAGTTCCAGGACAGCCTCCAAAGCCACAGAGAAACCCTGTCTCTAAAACCCACCCGCCTCCAAAGAAAGAGAACGCTGACTCCAGTGCTTTTGGAGAGAGACAGAGACAAAGGGACAGAGAGAGACTGACTGCTCTCTGTCTAGGCCACCAGATGTCAGTTATTGAAGCCAGAGGCATGCTCCTCTTGGTTACACCTTTAACTCTTGCACATCATGTGCTGATGCTGTGACCCCCATCTCATAGGGGCCAAGTTGTTCATTCACAAATCACCTGATGGACAGTGGTCCGGAGTCATCAAGAGTGGCCTTGCCTGCTGTTGGTTGTTGCTGAAGGAAAGAGGTAGGTCTCCACCAAGAGCAGTAGAGGCAATAAATGCAGCTGCTTTGGATGGTGTTGGTGCTGGACCTACCCTGCTGGCAATTGCCCTCTGAGAAATGTAGGGGCTGGGAGCAAGCCAGCCCAATATCTTGCCCCTAATAGATGAGATGTTGGTATTCATTTCCCAAACATAGGACTACATTTCAGAGAAAAGACAAAGGTATATAGGCAGAAAAGAAATAGGGGTTTGGATAACTTGATAGCCCATTGAAATAATTGAATCAGTGACCTCCAAAAATGTAAGCATTCTATTTTGTTTTGTTGTTGTTGTTGTTGTTGTTTTTCGAGACAGGGTTTCTCTGTGTAGCTTTGGAGCCTATCCTGGCACTCGCTCTGGAGATCAGGCTGGCCTCGAACTCACAGACATCCGCCTGCCTCTGCCTCCTGAGTGCTGGGATTAAACGCGAGCACCACCAACGCCCGGCTGTTTTGTTATTTTTAAAGCTATATAGTATAGATTTCTAGGACTGAAGTCTAAGGCTGTCAGAATAGAGAGGCCTGATGGGAACACAGCCAGGGAAATCAGAATAAAAACTGGAAATTAATATGCCACCGGTTGCTAACACCTTACCCCCAGTAATCCTTCTTAGTGAATATATTACCTGCAACAAAGCAAAACAAAATGCTTTTGTTTTAGTCCCTGTGTGGAAGTGTGTGGGAGGGACTGGGTCAAGAGTTGGATTCTGGGAATTCTCTTTAGAGACCAAAGGATGTCGAGAAGCCATAAGTGTCCATTGTGATCATGTCTTACTCATGACAGCTGTTCCATTTGGTGTGCTTGTTTTATACTTGTAACAGCCAGGGAGATTTCTCAGCAGCGTCCGGATCCCCAGAACCCACAAAAATGCTGGGCAGCCATGGCAGCCTGCCTGTAATTCCAGCTCTGGGAAGGTGGAAGGCAGAGGAGGTAGGGTATCCCTGAAGCAAGCTGAGTAGCTAGACTAGTGGAAATGTGGTAATGTGGAGAGCAATCAAGAAAGACTCCTGAAGTAAGCCTCAGACCTCTACATGAACACACACACACACACACACACACACACACACACACACACACACACACACACACACACCACAACACATGTATAGACATTTGAAAAGATTTTCTATTACTTTCTTTTTTCAAATCTATTTTTCCCCCTACAGGGTCTGGAATTAAACAGGAATTCTTCCACATTAATGGTTTTTATGAACCCAGTGTCTATCTGTATTACCAGATAAGAACTGATATGAGGGACTAGTGAGGTGACCCAGAAGGTAAAGACACCTACCACCAAGACTGACAATTTGAGTTTGATTTCCAGGACCTACCTGGTAGGAGGAGAGAAAGCACTCCCCAAAGTGCTTGTCTGACCTCCACAAGTACCATGTGCTCTCCATCCCCCACCTTTTGTGATCTTTCACACATATGCACACATCAAATAAATATAATAAACTTTTTTAAAAAACTAACATCACAAATGTGAAAGAATGTTTAAAATGGTAAACTCTGTCCCTTTTTTTTCTTTTATCACTAGAAAGGGATGTAAAGAAACAAGCCTTTGTTGGTCATGTTTCTACCTGGGATGCTTTGCTGTGGAGGGCCGTCTGTACAGTGGAAGACGCTTGGCAGTACCTTCAGCCTCTGTTCAAGTGCTGCCAGCGTGTCTCCATTGGACAATTGAAAATGTCTTCAGGAGCTGAGAAGGTAGATCAGTGTCACAGTGCTTGCCCGGCATGCACAAGACCCTGGATGCCCAGAGCTGCATAAATCTAGGAGCAGTGGCTGTACCTATAATCTCAGCACTCAGAAGCAGAGGCAGGAGGAACAAAGCAAAATTCAAGGTCATCATCAGCTATATAATGAGTTAGAAACCTTCCTGGGATACATCAGACCATGCCTCAAATGTCCTCTAGGAGATAAAAACCACCACCCCAGTTGAGAATCTTTCCTTTACATTAGTCATCTCTTATATAGCATCGAGGCACTGTGCTTGTCAACTGTCAAGGCTGAGATCTCTGTGCACTGGTGACTGAATGGGGTTCAAAGAAACAGTCTGGATAAGAACTCCCTTAAATTGCAGGGGATAGCAAAGATACAGAATGGAGTCCACAGCAACTCCTATCCACATCCATCTTATATCCCCTCTAAAGTGCAGCAGTAACTGGCCTCTTGCTGTCTCTCGCCAGAATAACACCATCTGTCAGTTCTATATGCCTGTCTTCCTCTCCCACCCCAACACCTCTGGACACATTTCATTCTAGAGGCTCACTCAAGACAAACTTGTTATTTCTTTGTTTCTCCTTAGAATCCACCCATGTGGCAGATCCATCTCTAGTCTCCTTCCCATTCTCTTCATTTTGCACCCAAAAGCCCAAAGAGCTGGTCTGGACCCTCTAAGCTCTTCTGCACAGTTGCATGTGGGTGGGTGGGAGGAACGGAGCAGCCCAAGCAGAACCCAATTTAGCAGTGGGGAGGAGGATGGAAAGGGCTGGCAATGCTCCTATGTGAGGAAGGTTGCAGGTTTTTGTCACCCCACTCACAGATGTGCAGAGACAGCATGCTATCTTTGTTTCTCTAAAATTATTTTCTCTTTTCTGAATCTCCAACCACAGAATAGAGGCGGGGGGCATTTGAACAAAACAACTTAAATAGACACATCAAGTGAATAGTCCATCTTGTCAGGTAAAGAACATAAAACGTTCTTAGTTTTTAAATATCCACTTCCTCCCCACCCCCTCCCTATCTTTTAGAGATGGTATTTGATCAGGGATGGAGGTTATGACTAACAGATTCTTTGGGGACAGAGGAAGGATAGGCTCCCTGGGTCCACTTCTAGCTCCTACATCTTCGGTGAATTTTGTGAGGTGGGTGGCCTGGATATTCCTCAAGTGTCACTGATAAGGGTTTAGACTGAATCTATTTCTAGGCTACTTGTGTGCACCTGCTGTTGAGGCGGTGTCTCTAGCGGCTGTGGTCTGGTCCTTCCTGGCTAGGAAGGACCTGCGTGTGTTCCCTGATGACTCAGAGCTGCTCTGGCTGGGACTCTGACCCCACATCCTCCATCGGGCTCTTCCCAGAGTGTCCACCCCCACCTTGCTGGTGACTCACCTTTCTCTCGTGATGCTTGGCACACGGAGGCCTGTTGGCTCTCAGCTCAGACAGCTCAGCTACTTTTTCTTCTGTGGTCCTGGGGGCAGTCCAGGGCATTATACTCAACCCTTCTCCCTAAATAACCTTGTAGTCACTCTTTGGGGTCAGGTAACATGGTGAGCAGGCCCTACCAGATCCCTAAAGGTGGGGTCTTCAGCCCCCCCCCCCTGCATCAAGCTGGTTTAGGCAGGATAAGAAGGGAGAGAATACTCGAATCAGCTGGTGACCTACCTCATCTTTCTGTTCCTTCTCAAAGAGTTTAGTAGGACTAGCAGGACAGGCTCTCCTCTTCCTGTCTGCTCCAGGACTTCTGAAATAAAACTCTGAGATTACTGACCCTGTTGCCAACAAGCAAGGAAAAGCAAATCTGTGACAACGTAGCATACTTTCTCTTTAACAAAGTTCAGCTGTTTAAGCTACTACTTGGTTAAAATGTCTGAAAATTCTACTTAGTAGCTGATTTGAACCTTTTCTTCTCCTGTTTCCTTTCTTTGCATTTCTTCTGTAACAACTCTACACCTCACTAAGGCAATTGGAAACCTCTAGAAGTGTAAGGGAGGCTCAGTATATGGTAAAAGAGAAAGGAGGCCACATGGTCTGATATTTCAAAACTGTTTTGCCACCATGCATACCTTTATAGTTTACCTACCACACAGCATGTTTTAATGTAGATGCTCCATGGAGGCCTTCAGGCTGAGACCACAGCCCTGTGGGTAGACCACATCTGTCCAGGCAATGGCTGGAAGAAGTACAGATCCTCACAGGAGATTAGAACACTCGGAACAACTGCTGACAGACAGGAGAAGGATGGTGCTTTGCCATCCTCAAGTCTGGAGTCTCAGGACAAGCTATCTCCCAGTGTGGGAAATTTCCTCACAGACCCAGTTAGGCCAGGTTCTTTAAAGAGAGACTTCTTTAGGTCCAGCTTCAGAAGATTAGCAAAGCAAAGTCTTTGCACAGGAGTAATGGGGATCAGAGCCTTTGACTTTGCAGGTTAGTTTGTTTAAAAAGAATCACTATTTGTGCTTTTATATTATCAGTGTTTCTGCTGTTTTTTTTTTTTAAAGACCTATTTGGGGCCAGAGAGAGAGAGACTGCTCAAAGGTTAAGAGCACTGGCCACTCTTCCAGAGGACCCAGGTTCAATTCCCAACACCCACATGGCTGCTCACAACTGCCTGTAACTCCAGTTCCAGGGAATCTGACACCCTCACACACAGACACACAGACAGGCAAAACACCAATGCACATAAAATAAGGATAGGATAGATAATTTTTTTTAATGTTTTCAAAAAGAGAAACAACTGCTCTTCCAAGGAATCAGGTTAAATTCTCAGCCCCCACTTTGGCAGCTCACAGCTGTCTGTAATTCCAGTTCCAGGGGATCCGGCACTGTCACACAGACATATATGTAGGCAAAACACCAATGCACATGAAATAAAAATAAAAAAGGACCTTTACAGGTTGTGGAGTTGGTTTGGCAGTTGAAGCTTTTGCTGTGCAAGTTTAAATAGTCAGCACCCATGTATGTGTATGGAGGGTAAGCACCCCCCCAACACACACATACTGTAATTCCAGCCTGGGAAAGTGAAGGCAGGATCCCTGGAGGCAAGACTAAGTAAGACTAGCCTTATCAGCCAGGTCTGGGTTTGACTGAGAGACCTTACCTCAAAGAATAGGGTGGGAGAACATGAATAAGGTAGAAGAAGATGAGGAAGATTCCTGATATCAACCTTGAGCTCTCTCGCTCTCTCTCTCAAGCACACACACACATATGTATATACACATGCATACTACATGCACCTACACATGAAAAGAAGAAAAAGTAATTTTCCAAAAAGGACTTTTAACATCTCTTTTAAAAAGGTGACTTAGAGAGGCTATTTCTAAAGGACAAGTGCAAAATTTACTTCAGACAGCTGGAATACATGGAGCAAAGGCCAGGAAGGGGGATGACTGATGTCTCTAGTGGTGGCAGGTGGCCGTCTCTGTCCACAGGGCTTGTGAGAGGCAGGACTAGAAGGCAGTTGGAGCAGGCTCTGGAGATCTGAGTGACAGGATAAGAGAGCAACAGGTCAGCTTTGAGACAGTTCGAGTTTCTGGTTGTTTCATCAGAAAGGATCCAGCAAAAGGAGAATCATGTTCCAGAAACTTTAAAATGCAGGCTCGCATGCAGTTCCTGGTGGAATTCCTGCATTGTGAGGAGGAAGGGCTAGAGAGGAAGCAAAGCCATTTGCAAGAAAGCTGGAATCCATCCTTGACTTAGATGAAATATAAAGCTGTGCCTATTTGCAACCAAGAAGAGAAGAGCGACTTTTAGAGGTCACACACATTTCCTAATAGAGACGGTTAAACATTTTTTTTTTTTTTGACAATTTCTGTCTCGCCTGCGCAGAGCTTAGGCTATCTTTGCACAGCTCATCTACCTTGACTTATCTTGTCTTGATATCCGTACTGTCCTTTGGCCCCCACTTTTCATTTGAATCACCCACCACAGACTGTGATGACTTTGTTAGCATGAGCTTCCAGTAGTTCATGTTTTTCCCACTAAAACAATGTGTGTTAAGAGCGGGGCCATCTTCCTCACTGTTGTCACTTCAGGGCCACACCCGGGACTGACACGTTAGTCTTCAGTAAACTTGACAGAGCGATAAGTGAATGAGTAAGTGAACGTACTTCTGGGAGGAGTGATTGACACCACCCATACTTAATAAAGTGCCTTCTTGTGTGAGATCCTATGGGTTTTTTTTTGTCTTTTTTTTTTTCAGTAAATAGAATGATCTTAAAAATTGATGTCCCATCCTGGCCTGAAAGTGACAGCTCCTGGTAGCTAGAGGTAGCTCTCCTTCCTCTGAGGCCTGGTGCTAGTATAGTGCCACCTGTTGGATCAACCAGAAAACCAAGGCTTTCATACAATCACAGTTTTCCTTTTCAAAGGAACATGTAATCTCACTTGACAATTTCATCTATAATCTTAGTTGGCTTTTCCATTTTTAAATATCTGGGGCCTTGTTTTCTCTGTTAAATTAATTGTCTTCCTTTAAGTACTACCTTTATTTTGCCTCATGGTCCACTTTTCAGATAAATCATATTAAATTGTGAAATACCTCTCATACAAAAGTAGTTAAGGAGGGAAGTATTACTAAGATTACCTTATGTGCCATGCATGGGTCACTTATATTTGGGGTAGAAACACACTCTACAGCAAAGGTGTTGATAATAGACTTCTGAGCAGTAACCCCAGAGGCATGCAGTTACTACTGTAAACATTTGTTACACTTGAAAAACTATGAAAACAATAGTTGGCTAGAGACATTAGT